AAAAGGGAAAAGCACATAACACTGTGGAAGAGGACTGGATGGGACCGCTGACCTGAAGTACTGGTAAGGAGTTTTAGATCTGTACACACAGGCCTTGGCAGGGGCTGAAGCGCACTAGGTAGTACTCCTTCCCGCTTTGTGGTGTGATAGGCGGCACATTAAATCTTTGGTGGCATTGCTTACTTGTGTTTGGACTACAGGTGGAGAAGACTATGGCAGCCAGCAGGGCGACGACAATGGGTAGTGGGGGCATGTCCATGGCTGTTGTCCCTAGCTCGCCATCTGGGCGACCCTACCATGTGCTTCCGGAAGTCGACATCACACCTCCAGCTGCTCCGGCTTGGGTGAAGTCGCTTACGAGCGTTCCTTCGTCTCCACGTCACGTGCACATGCATGTGTCGTCAGTGACCGGGGACAGAAACACGGGATCCGGCGAAGAGATTCCTCCGCCGCCAACAAGCAAGTATATGTCGTCGGCTACCAGCGAGCATGCTCCAGAGAAGGTTCCGCATGCACACATTACTCCATTCGGCTCATACTTCGGAACAGGTGAGAAGAAAGGGGTTTGCTGGTTGTACCAGGGTCTAGATGGCTCTGATTTGGCCTTCGAGCTTTGAGGCAGTCCGCTCGGATATCTCATCTCACCAAGCTCTATCAAAAGAAAGGGGTTTGCTGGTTGTACCAGGGTCTAGATGGCTTTGATTTGGCCTTCGAGCTTTGAGGCAGTCGACGGCTCGGATTTCTCATCTCACCAAGCTCTATCAAAAGCTATCTTGTCATGACATGCATTTTTTGGCGGAGAATATCACTCTGAAGGGTCCGTCAGGGCTCTGTATGTTCAGTGGGGCCTTCGAGCTTTGAGGCAGTCCGCTCGGATATCTCATCTCACCAAGCTATGGTCACCCTTCAATCTCTCTGTGTGGCGTATGAAAGAAAAAAAAAGAAGCTTGTAGTTCCACAGACCATGTCCCTCAATAAGGGCTCTGTATAAGGACCTCATCCTTGGATTGTATGTTGAACACTGGAAGCTTCGCTCAGTGGCGCTCGATTGAGTCATTGAGGAGAAATGTATCAGTGATGAAATAAAGATCGGCGTGATGATGTTGTGAAAGTGGATTGGATGGCGAACATGTTTCTAACGAGTGAAAGGGGATACAAACATTTTCACAACGCGGTGCAAAGTGTAAAAGGGAATGTCAAACTGGCTTTGAAACCCATTGAATGCGGGTGTTGAAATGTTGTGAAAAGCAACCCAGCCCTTGGAGGATCGCGATCGAACAAACTCTAACAAACTGAAGGGCGGGAAGGACTTCATGTAAAACAAGCCAAAATGGAGGTGGTGGGCACAAACGGAAGGCAAGTTGCAGAGAACATTTCAGAACAATGAAAGGCAGAAAGAGGCTTGGGATGGCGATCTGGTCTCTCAAGCAGTGGGGTTGATGATGACCACCAGAGAGCCATACATTTCAGAAATGCGATACTGCTTGCGAAGCCAGTCTTGCCTCTCAAAGCATTGAGGCTTGTATCAAACCCCACGAGAGGATTGCACACGACTTTGGAATGGAGCTTCCTGTTTGGCATTGCTTCAGCTTTGGGAGTGTTCGTTTATGATCTGTGTCGTTCACTACACCGATGTCGGCCCATTCATTGAATAGCTGCAGTATCTGTCCGCTTATATCCGACGAAACAGTATGTCACAGCCCCTTGTTTGTTGTCCTCTTCTCCCTCTCTGCCTACGGTTTACTGGGCAGCGCTGTTTGACGATATACAGGTCTTATGTGGTGGACAGGACGAAAGATGCCGCTTGCCAGAGTGATATGCATCGCCAGACGCGAGAGTCGAAACCGTACAGAATTTGCATTGGGATGCGATCAGACTGATTTGATGACGAGGTGACCTGCTGTTTGTCAGTAGAACAGAAAAACAGAAGCGGTAGATGACCCTGCCCGCATGTGCAGAGCACGATTTGATATGCTTCCTTGCTCACCGTCATATATAAATATATCGTTGTATATATATAGCATTTGCAAGTTGAAGTTGTTGGACACCGCTGTCCGAGAGAGAGAGGGGGAGAGAGAGAGAGAGAGAGATTAGCATGGCCCCTGCGCTTTCAAGGGTGACACACATTCAGGGGAGGGTGGGAAAAAAGCATGGACTCTATCTGATCTGATGACATTTCACTCTCCAATGGCGACTCGCTCTGATGACATTTCATGGCATTTCACTCTGATGACATTTCATGGCATTTCACTCTGATGACATTTCATGGCACTTCATGGCATTTCACTCACCAATGGCGTCTCCCTCTGATGACATTTCATTTCTCTGATATCCTGTTGAAATGCAGTGGGAAGTACCAGGCCACAGAAAAGGTGGATTCAGTTTGGTGACGGTTTGGTTTGATGAGATTTCGCTCTCTACTGAGTCGCTAGCATTCTACTCTCTGGAGTTTCCTCTGACCACAGGCAATGGATGCCGAGTCGATAGAAGCATTTGGATCTCGGGGGGCTGCGGCCTCTTAGGTGGGCCGGCCTTGGTTTCCATTAAGGCTTGTTACTTGGTACTAGATGAAGTTGATGGACGGACATTCGCCCTCTGACATCCTGCCTCAGGCCAAATTCAGATGATGCATGTATCTGGTCAGGACATTGGCCTTGAGATATCACCACCGAACTGACAGGCCGTAGGTAATTGCAAATTGTTGCAGTTTTATGCATCTGCTTCCAGTGGAGTTTGAATTCAGGTCTGGCTTTTAACTGTTCAGGGGTGCACCAACTAAGCTAGGCCAGTTTCTTCAAGGGCGTGTTTCTGATTTCTGACATGGACAACCCTTGCAGTCGTCTGACAGTTTTGTTTGGAGTTGTTGAAACTTAGCGGAATGCTCTTGGTTCTATTCTCTTTAAGGACCTTGGTTGCAATGTTGTTGTATCGATCTGATTCCGCCAGTGTTTGGAGCCATAATCAGTTCATGAGCAGTCGCACATGTTTGGCATCCGAATGCTCAAGGTTGTTGCAAGGTCCATATTTTGCCCTTCGCGAGATACCTAACAGATATTCAGCAGCAGATGGGAATGTACATCTGATCCCATCTGGTCTCGTGTGGTTTCGATAGAATGAACTCGGCTGAGAATGCCAGCACCTGTTGGGAAAAGCTGCCGTGAGCATGCCAGTTTCAACCGCAGCCAAGGTGAACTGCAATGGACCGCTCTGCCTAAAATCTACAGTGCTGCGGTGAGGAAAACTAGTTGTGGTACCCTTCCCCACTGAACCTGTACAGGGTCCGGGCCCTGTAGACTGCAGCCCGGCACTTGTGGACAAGAAAAGTGAACAGGGCAGGGGCATTTGGAGTGGTGGTTTGGATCCGTGGCGTCGGCCATTTTGCTTTGGTAGGCTGACCCGCGAAACTTGCGGCACGTCAACAGTGGTATCGGAGAAAGATGGCTGGGTGAAGTACCCGTGGTTTGAAGTTTAAACCACCAGTACATCGGGAGAGTTTGAATGACCGTCTCCAACAAGGTAGGGGGGCCGGGACAGGACGCATCCCGGGGTCCGGCAGAAATTTGTTTTTGGTGCCACCCTGGACCTAGTGCCACCCTACCTCATGGGACAATTTTTTTTCCTACTGGTCCTTTGGACGCCCTGTCCAGAGCCGCCTCTGAAATTTTAGGAGAGGCTCAATTGGATTCTCAACTTGGTTGGGGCCATGTACTGGTCGTTAAAACCGCCAGTAGATAGCTCAGGCAAACTTGAGAATCAGAATCGAGTCAGTCCGAAGAGTTTCGGGGCCTCGGGCCCTTGGGGTTATGGGATCACAATGCCTGGCAGCACCAGCCAAAAAAGGGGAAAAAAGTGTACGGCTGTCAGTTCTGCAAAGTTTGGCGCGCAGTGCAAATCCACCTCTGTTAAAGAGGCTCGGACGGACTGGTCCTTCAAACCACCACTACCACCACTACCTCTGAGCCTCTCTTTCTGATGGTGGATTTCTGCTGCGTGCCGAGTCCAAAACAAACTGGCACTGCGCTTTTTTGCTGGTGCCAGAAAGGTTAGGTAGACCGAAAGGCCTGAAAGAGGGTTTGTCTGTCACCAAGAAAAACTGGCACCGCGCTATGAAGCCTGAACCTGAGGTTTCACAGCTTCAGAGCCTTCCCCCATCAGTCAAAATTCAAGTTTCAAAAACAAAATGTATATATAAGCTCCGACGAAACAGTTTGTCGCAGCCCCTCGTTTGTTGTCCTCTTCTCCCTCCCTCTCTGCCTATGGTTTACCGGGCAGCTCTGATTGACTATATATATGTCCTCTTCTCCCTCTCTGCCTCCAGTTTACGGGGCAGCTCTGTTTGATGATATATAGAGGAGTTGGTGAAACTCTGAGAAAACAGTTTGACACAGCCCCTCGTGTGTTGTCCTCTTCTCCCTCTCTGCCTACTGTTTACCGGGCAGTTCCGTTTGACGATATAATCAAAATTAGAGTTTCAAAAAGAGAAGAAGAAAAAAAAGAAAAAATTTGAGTTTCACATGTGCACTCACCAGCATTCAAAGCATAACTGACGGCCTCGTGCTTTCTTTTTTTTTGGTATCTACCAGGGTTGCATACCTGCCGACCGCCGACCCCGACCTCCGACCCTGACCGCCAACCCCAGCCACCGACCGCATTGCAGCCGAGCAGTAGGGCCGACGGCTCGGCGGTCTGCCGACCACTCAGAAAACTGAGAAAACAACCACCCACTGATTGTTTTCCCAAATGTGCGTTGGGGGCTGTACTGCGCTTGCCGAGTACAGCCCAAATCTACTGTAGAGAATTTGCCCTTCTCTTAGTAATCATTTGCCATACACTTAGCAATCATTTGTCGATCATCTATTAATCATTTGTTGATCCATGGTGTTCTGTCGAATGGTGTTTGCAGGGACAGAAACGACATCTGGGACCTTGGATTCTCTCCGAGAGCGGATGCGGAACATTCAGGCAGCTGTTGCGGGGTCCCCGTCTGCGTTTGCAGCTGTGAACGAGAGACTGCACACGATGTCGGCAGTGCATGCGAACGGAGCTGTCTCCCACTCTGCTGCAGTCCATTCTAGTGGACACGTACCAGCCGATGCCGGGCCAGAGGAGATTTCTGTGTCCGGTTTACAGGCCCGCATGCAGAGGCTCAAGAGTGGGGCCTCCATGTTCTGAAAGGACCCAAGTGAATTGTGGAGGAAAAGTGAAAAGCTGCCATGAAGCAAAAAATGGCGAGTGTAGGAAAGCTTTCCTTTCCGTCTCACGTTATGTCATCGATGCGTAGGCAGCTGGCGAAAGACCACAGGCAGAGCTTTGTTCCACTGGTGAACTGAGCAGGAGGAGGAGGAGAACGCGTACAGACAGCCACCTGACAGCGGGACATGCTTTCAAGGCCAGGCAGCACGTTTGGAGTGCTCCATGACGCTGTTCTTTCCGTATCAGTGATCGATGGATTGCAACTATTTTTTCCCTTTTCCCAGTTATTATTTTGTTGCCAAATGATTAGAGTACTGATAGCGGGCAGACAGGTCTACAGACACATGTGCGCTGGAGCTCCTCTTTGAGTTGTTCGAGTAGGAGAAGGGGACTACACTTGGCCCTCGTCACTCCCCAAGGCGCGCGCTGAAGCTATAAGAACTACTGCATTGTTCTTTTTCATGTCTTCTCTCTCTCCATTAGTTCAGCGAGTTTCACTATCGAGAGTACAGCATATGTTTCGAGTGGCTGCACAAGCAATCGCACAGGGTAACGGACATCGTGCCTCCCTCGATATAATGCGTCGGATAGGTGCCTGTCTGTAAGTTGAAGGCTGGCGGGAACAGACAGTGACAGTTTGATCAGCGTTGATCGACTGCGAGCTGATCAAACTGATAGCCACTGAGTCAAGACACTGCAGGGGAAGGGTGTGTGCAATAGATTGAACTGCATGCTTCCTCACTGCTCAGCAGTGGAACAAGCATGTTTGAGGGCAAGCAATTGGCTCTTGATGGGGCGGGGCTCTCTGCATCACTTCTCCTGAAACCGGTCTCATGCGATGTGACAGTTTGATCAACTGTTATCGAGTGCTAGGCACTGAGTCAAGGCACTGCAGTGGAACGAGTACGTTTGAGAGCAAGCAATCGGCTCTTGATGGGGCTCTGCATTGCTTCTCCGGACACTGGTCTCCTGCTATGTCCCCATTTGCACAGTTGTCCATTGCATTCATAGTAGGATTCAGTCAGTGAGTCAATAAATAGTAGTGGGGAGCAGAAGGCATGAATACTAGACCTCCTTTGCAATGGAGTGTCAAATTCTGTGTCGACTACTAGGCCTCCCTCGCAGTGGAGAGTCAAATTCTCTGTTCCACAGATGCTGACGAAGGGTTGACGGATGCTGACCGAGGGCCGACTGATGGTCAGCTGAGGATCAATTGAAGATCAATTAAGGGTCAATTGAGGGCAATGGAAGGTATCGAGTTTTGTCATGGTCGATGGAAGGTATTTGTTCGAGGGGTAGATTGGCAACTACAGTAATCCATTGAGGAGCGATTGAGGGTCGAATGACAGTTCAGTGAGCGGTTGATTGAGGGTCAGTTGAAAGTTAAGTGAGGGGTTGATTGAGGGTCAATTGGGGGTTGGTTGGTTGGCGATGGAGGATCTCAATTGAACGTCCGTTCATTGAGAGTTGATCAAGGGCCGATTAAAGGGTCGATTGAGAGGCGGCTGAGGGTCGATTGGGTGGCGACTGAGGTGGTAGATTGACAGTTCATTGAGAGTTTCAATGGAGGGTTGATCGGGGTTCGGCTGAAGGGTTGATTTAGTATCAATGGATCCTACTATTGGTCAGGCATGAGACAATGTCAAGCTACGCAGACAGCTGCCGCTGCCGACCGACGAGCATTGCTGACAAACCAGTGACCTGGATTCTCCATCACCAGTGTCCACGTTCACAGGTCGAACCGGCGAACAGATCGGGTTTTCGACTAAACAGATTCCCAGGAGGATGAATTATTTCATACCAGACAGTCCTGTTCATACCAGAGAGTGCCAATGCGGGATCATGTGGCGCGGTACGGTGTTGTTCTACGTGGTTTGGGCGAATGATGTTGAGCAGCAGGCAAGTGGTCTGTCCGCTCATTACGTAAAATTTGGTTGTACACCACTAACTGCATGCAAGTGTAAATCGAGACGCTCGTATTTTTTGAGTTTTTTTCCCAGAATCAGGTCGGGATGTCGCATCAACAAGTCACTTGGTGCAAGTGTAATTCCCTGGTGCTCGCATTTGTGACTCAAATGTCGAATCATCGACGCGAATGCTCTGTCAGGGGTTTACAGGTTGAAGATGCTCGCATTTGTAACTCAAATGTCGAATCATCGACTCGAATGCTCTGTCAGGCGTTTACAGGTTGAAGATGTGTACATTTTCCATGCCAATTCAAGTTCTGGTTCCGTGCATTTGTTTCCATAATAATACTCAGTATTCCTTGTACTTGTCAGCTGTCAGATGCCGGACCCATGTCCGACTTACACGCGCAGGCCGTTGCTGGGAGTTCGAACTCATCCGGTGGTGAGTTGCAGGGTCCCCAGACTGACATTGCCGGTTTGGAGGGATGCTGTGGGTTTGTGCCGATCCCATCACTCGGGTAGCATCGACGTCATGACCGTTGGTGCAAACTCGCGTAATGCTGCAGTGTTTGAAACGACACACATGCGCAGACCGTTGCAGTGAGTTCGAACCGATTCGTCGGCGGCAAGTTGGAAGGTCTCCAGAGTGATATTGTGGGTTTGGACGAATGCTGTGGGTTTGAACTGATCCCCTCACTCGGGTAGCGTGGAGGTCGTGAGCCCTTGTGCAAATTCATGTAAGTCTATTCTGTGGAGAATGCACGCTTGTGTGCTCCTTTGAGGAGGGTGGACCAGGTAGATCTTGTAACTGGTCCTTGTTCCTCATACTGCTGCAATGTAAGGCCGGCGTGTTGTCCTCCCTGAAGCTGTTGATGAAGCAGCTGCTGGTTGATGGATGTGTTGACTGGTTAATTGGGCTGGTTGAGTTAATCTGTGGTATCTGTCAGGGGTTTTTTTGTAGGGCGGGTTGCGGTTCTTCGACGAGCCCCTTGCCGTGCATGCATGGGGCATGTAGTTGCTCTGCGGTGGAGGGTTGCGGTTCGACGACGAGCCCCTTGCCGTGCATGGATGGGGCATGAAGTTGCTCTGCGGTGGTTGACAAAGCATGCGGCTATTGGCTATGGGCATGCTGTTTGTTGGCTATTGGCTATGGGGTTGCTCGGTTCATGGATTGGTTTGATCAACTCAATTGACCAGCCTTCTGGTGAAGGAATGAAATATGATATATGTTGTATAGTGTAAGAGGACGATGGGTTCCGGCATGACTTGGCTCGGTTCGTGGATTGTTATGTGATACCATCGGAGGTCTATTGGCATGCTGTTTGTTGGCGATATGATGAAAATAGTCGTTTGATTGACATGCTGTCTATTGGATATGGTGAAGGGGATAGTAGAAACATGATAATAGTCGATTGAGACAGCGACGGGCAGGTGCCCTCTGATAGGATTTTCTCTGTTCGTTTTTCTTTTTTTTTCTTTTTTTTCTTTTTTTTTCTCCCCACGTCTTTAGCTTGCACTATTTAAATTGTTTAATTTGTTTTGTTTGCATCTTTTCAGTGTACCCAGGGTGGGCATGAGGGTTGGTTGCGTAGATTCCAGGCGTTTTGTTATCGTATATGCATTGTGCAATGTGCATGTGGTCACGATTGAAATGGAGTGATGAATCTGGTCTCGAAAACAGTAAGAGGTATGTACACATTTATTCAGTGGGTTTCATTTATTTTGTAGGTTGGAAAGATGCATGGATGGCTGGCCGGAAATTAAACAAATTGTTTCGAGTTTGCCATTCCTCCTGTCGTGCACAAATTCTGCTTAGGTACATTTTTTGTTCGTTCGGGATTACTTGCATCTGTTCATAGCTTTGCCACAGATTTGCAACGAGGAATCTTTTTATTAAGTGATGCTTTGTTTGAGACCTCGAAGGGTCACCCCACCCCACCGTACGATACCCCCCGCCCCCTATCTACCCAGAAGACAAAAATTGACAACGATATAAGTTTTTGTTTTTTTGGAGATGTATAAATTGTTGCCCTTCAGTGCTGAGAGAGGCAAGGGTCAACATTCCCCCCCCCAAAAAAAAGACACCCCACCAAACCCTACCCCACCCTATCTACACAGAAGACGAGCTACCCGGCTAGCCCGGTTGTGCAGCATGGCCATGCAACCTGGGCAAGTCGCCTGGGGGTCACTTGCATGGGGGCAACCATGCAGGCAAAAGCCAGCCATTTCTCTGTTATTTATTTAATTTTGGGTGGAGGTTTTCTGAGCATGGCCAGAGGATCGCAAATCTGGGCTCCTTTCTTTATTTTGTTCTTTTTTTCTAAACAACCCAAGTAAATGCTAGGGGTGCTGATAAGAGCAGACACCACTTGCATACTCGGGGAGGCTCCATCTATTGGTGGCAACACCTGCTGGAAACCGGGTCCAGTGTCCCTTAACATTTAGAATTGAGTGTCTGTAAACAAACAGGGCTCATGTTGACATGCCACGTGTCCATCGTACTATAAACAGGAGTGGTCACCCAAAGCGACACGTAGGCACACTCCATTGACTGATGAGCAGCATTGATTGCCCTCAATCGAGGGGATTAACTGCCCATCACAGTCCAAATCAGATCCATTGACTCTGAAACCCTCGTCAACTGCCAATGAACCCTTGCAGCGCCATGAGGAGGAGAGGCATTCAGAATAGGAAGTTAGAAAGTTAGAAATTCAATTATAGCCAACGAACCCTTGCAACTGCCTGCCCTGGATAGCTCTTGAGATACTAAATCAGAGAAGGCAATCGAGTAAAGGAGGGCCCCCCAAGCTGTCCTACCCTCCGACCCTCCCACCCGGATCCCACTGAACGAGCGCAATGCTATCTCGCCGGCACGAACAGCTTGTGAAGAGATGGGTAAACGATGATATGCCAATTATACCGCCCCTCTCAGGATAGCACAGATGGGTAAACGAGGGCCCCCAAAGCTGTCCTACCCTGCGACCCTCCCACCCGGATCCCACTGAACGAGCGCAATGCTATCTCGCCGGCACGAACAGCTCGTGAACATGCAGAAAGTGATCCCCTCCCCAAAAGGCCAACCTCCACTGAATATGACAAAGATCATGGGAGGAGCCCGCTGCACCCAGCGACCGCTCCCATCCGAATCACTGTTGTAAATGTTGACTTCACAGCGGCAAAATGGTCGTCGTTATCGGTGGCTGTCACCTGAATGACTTGGATGCGTATGTCATTGCCATCATCACGAAGATCACAGTAGTCGCCGTTATTGTTGTTGTTGTTGTTGTTGGTGTTGTTGTTGTTGTCGTCGTCGTTGTTGTCATCGTTGCTGATGTTGTTGTTATCACTGCAATCGTTGTTGTTGTTGTTGCTTTTGTCATTGTTGTTGTTGTTGTTGTTGAGATTGACGGCGATATAGGTGAGATTGTCGTTGTCTTTGGAGTCGATGTTGAGGTTGATGTTGTTGGCGTCTTCCGTGGTGTCGTCATCGTCATCATAGCAGAGGTCCTCCAGCGTAGCGCAAAGGCCTTGCCCCTCCTCAAGTTCGTCATAGTAGTGCCGCATCAAGTCGTCCAGTCGTGGAGAGCCTATAATAGCATCCAGGTGGGGGGGTGGGCCCTCCTCCAGCCCTCATGTGACCTCCAGCAAACACTGCCGCATACTGTGGATCCACGAGATTGACGGTACTACGCTTTCAGCAGCTTTTCCAGTGTTGGCTAAACTGGGAAGGGGGTTTTAATTGGTTTTTAGGGGCTGAACTGCTGCTAAAGGGGTGTCAACGGGGGTGCCTTAGTCTAATTCTACAGTTGAGTTTTTCTTGGGGGGGGAAGGTCTAAATTGTTGCCCTTGTACTTGATCCACCATAAACCAAATAAGCCAAATGCATTAATATCCTCGTCTCAAGAGTGTTATCCAACCATGCCGATATCAACACCTGTGTGCCTTCTCCCCTGCTGATTGTCTGCACTGTGACATTTTTTTCATGTTACATTGTCACAAGTATTTAGTCACTAAGCATTGACAGCAAACCTTTCTGGTATCACTAAGAAATCAGGCATTTCCTAGGCTACCAGAGTCAATGGGCCCAGACTGCCTGGCCCTGCGACACAGGCGAACCTGCCGTTGTGGTGGCCCTTTTTTTTCGTGTTCTTGGCAGTGGGGCAATTTGGCCCCCACTCTGATGTACCAAAATCTGGCCTTTAGGGTGGCCCTTTGGCGAAAAGGGTGTCTGTGGGCCATAAGGGGGGTTCGAAGGGGATTAAACCACCAGTACTTGGCCCAACCAAACGCCCGGTCGCTGCTACAAGGCGGGGGTCCACCAATTTCGGGTTGACACCAAAGACAAAGGGGGAGAAAAAGGGAAAAAAGGAAACGGGGGGGGGGGGGGGGGAGAGAGAGAGAGACGCCCCCCTGCTTGATTTGGAAAATGGGAATGCAGCTCCCTGGGAAAGCGGGAAGATGCATTCCCGTTTGCACGTGGTTCTCTCTCTCTCTCTCTCTCTCTCTCTCTCTCTCTCTCTCTCTCTCTCTGTATATATATATATATGAGTCGGTGAAACTCCGACGAAACAGTTTGTCACAGCCCCTCGTTTGTTGTCCTCTTCTCCCTCTCTGCCTACGGTT